CCGCGGCGGAGGGGGGAGGAGGAGGAGGAGGGACAGTCCAGGATACAGGAGGAGGAGGACGAGAAGGAGGAGGAGGAGGCGGAGGAGGGGCAGGAGGGGAGGCTGAGCGGGAAAGGAGGAGGGAGGGAGGAGGAGGGAGGAGGAGTCCGGAGGAGGAGGGGGAGGAAAAGGAGGCAGGAGGAGGAAGGAGGAGAAGGAGGAGGAGAAGAGAGGAGAGGAGTCAGAGAGGAGGAGTCGCCGTGAGGGAGGAGGAGGAGGGAGAAAAGAGGAGTGAGCCAGGGAGCTGAGGGAGAGTGGATGCCCAGAGGCGGGAGGACCAGGAGGAGGAGGAGGAGAGGAGGAGAAGGAGGAGGAGGAGGAGGAGGAGGAGGAGGAGGAGGAGAGGAGGGGAGGAGGAGGAAGAAGCCCAGGAGGAGGAGGAGGGAATGGGAAGATGAAGGAATCCAGAGGAGGAGAGGAGGAGGAGGAGGAGGGAGGAGGAGGAGGAGGAGGAGGAGGAGGAGGAGAGGAGAGGAGGAGTCTGGAGGCTCCTGGAGGACCACTGGAGGAGTCCGAGTCGGAGTCGGAGTCGGAGTCGGAGTCGGAGTCGGAGTCGGAGGAGGAGGAGGAGTCGAGGAGGAGGAGGAGGAGGAGTCCACCAGGAGGAGGAGGAGGAGGAAAAAGAGGAGGAAACATATTAGGAGTTAGGAGGAGGAGGATGAGAAGGAGGAAGGAGGAAGTTCCTCGGAGGAAGGTGAAGGGGAGGAGTCCGAGTCGGAGGAGCCGGAGGAGTTGGAGGAGTCGGAGGAGTCGGAGGAGGAGGAGGAGGAGGAGGAGGGGAGGAGGAGAGGAGGAGGAGGAGGAGGAGAAGGAGGAGGAGTCCAGGAGGAGAAGGAGTGGAGGAGAAGGAGTCCAGAGGAGGAGAAGGTGAGAGGAGGAGGAGGATGAGGAGGAGGAGGAGGAGGAGCAGGCGAGGAGGAGGAGGAGGAGGAGGAGGAGGAGTCCCCAGGAGGAGGAGGAGGAGGAGGGGCAGGGGCCCAGGGAGGGGGGAGGGGAGGGAGGAGGGAGGACGGACAGGATTTTGAATCTGGCGGGGGAAGGGAGTCGGTGGGAGGAGAGAAGAGGAGAGGGACAGTCGGGACGGTGACAATTCATAATCTGGCAGAACTCACCGGATAACCGAGAATGGGCGATAACCCCCCCCCCCTGAAATAATAAAGTTCTCGGTCCCCGCGGTGATGATACTAAAGGATTTTCCTGGGACAGGTCCGTTATGATAATGATGATGATGAGGAGGATGAGGATGATGATGATGATGATGGTGATGGTGATGGAGGAGGAGGAGGTTTAACCAGGCGCAGGAGGAGGAGAAGGAGGAAAAGGAGAAGGAGCAGGAGGCGGAGGATTGGCCATGTTGGTAGGGATCAGCCTCAGCACTCGGCGAGTGCTGATCCCTACCCAAACGTCGTTCTGACGTTTACTCCATGTTCGTAACTAGTGCATCTTATGGCTGGCCCTGCCGCACGGTCGTATGGTGAGCAAACTGAACAACTGGACTGGTGAGAATCCCACAGCCCTGCCACACGCTCGCGTTTGCGGAAACTGGTGCGTTTTTGATCCCCGCAATGTTCCAGGTGATTATGAAGTTCGACCCCCGCGCCTTCCCCACAGATAAATCCCTGTGGGCGTGGGCGTGGGCGGGGATAAAACATAGAGGGGGGAAAGGGAGGGGCACCTTTATCATCTCCCCTTCGGGGTTATCGCCGAATGTCTGGTTTGAATTTCGAAATCAATCGTTTTACTTCGATACTGCCAAATCTTTAGTTTGAATTTCTAAAATTGCCTTTTCCACACAGTCCAACCGAATTTCTGGTTCGAATTTCTAACAGTCCTGCTGTTCTACGTTTCGGTATGTTCCGCCCATAAGCAAGAAGTAACGGGATTTAGTAAGAAGACCTCTTAGTTTTATTATCATTCTTATTCCTATGTGTCTTTTTCCTCCTCCTCCTCCTCCTCCTCCTCCTCCTCCTCCTCCTCCTCCCTGCAACCACGACCCCGGCACCCATCCCTTTTTAGGATGGATGGCCACCAGGGTCAGGCATGTGAGGGCGCCGTCCAACCTTGAAACAAACTGTACACCCCCACGGTCTGCGGGCAACGGCCCCTGACCCTGACCAGGGGGGGGGAACGGAAGCACGCCTGTACGTGCGGCCCAGAAGGGGGAAGGAAGGGGCGGGAACGGGGGACGGGGGACGGAGGGCGGACGGAGGGCGGAGGTCGTGTCGTCGTGGCGTAGGTGTGGTCGCCGTTGTCTCCGCCG